TGTACCTTGATTGTTTTTGTTAAAGATTTATACCCTGTATTGGTTCTGGGAAGTTGGGGGGGGGGAAGGTTGGGGGGGCTTGGGGGGGGGGAAGGTTGGGGGGGTTTGGGGGGAGGGAACTAAATATCTGTAAAAGTTTGTTTTTTTAAAATGCTCATTAAAAAAAAGAAGTTTGCCTTTAGTGCATTTGACCACATTAACCAAGGAAGATGCCTCAGTTATAGAATGTCACTGTCCAAGCAAATGGTGCTGAAATATCATCCGACACTCGTTACAAAATTATTACAGCATATTTTTGTCCCTCCTTTAAAAAAAAAAAAAGTCAATGCAAAGCAGCAAACATACCCAATACTTCTTCCTTTTCCCCCACAACAGCCACCCTGTGAGGAGGGATGGGCTGAAAGTTACTGGCTCAAAGTTACTCATTCAGTTTTCATGACTAAGTCAGGCCTAGAACTTTCTGTCTCTGGTCTCTAGGTTCGTGCCTTAATATAACTGTCTTATAATAAAAGTTTGATATTACTCACAATAAAATCTTAGCACTTAAATTGCATTTCATAATAAATGTATTAAATTTAAGCTGTTTTGATTACCATGCATCCCAATTTTGAGATGTTTGCATTCACAATATCAGATTCTCCATTTAATTAATTAAACATTTAAATTGAGTAGCATGCCAAATTTCCCCAGAAGTGTATTGTTAGAATTAGATTATTATTAATTTTCTTAAAAGTTTATTTGCAGCATATAAAAGCAATTAATAGAATCTATAGTTCTTACTATACATCCTTAATGTCAATTAAAAAAAGATTTTAACAATTGCTACATGCAACAAAATATGAATATCATAAATTATTTTGCTAAGAGATTCCAAATTAGATTAGCCTAGATTAAAGATAATGATATAATTGGTTACAAGTTTTGCCAATATAGAATTAACTACTAAGATCTCTACTAGCAAATGAAAAGATACACAAATACATACATCAATGATGTCCTTTAATTATCAACTTGATTTGCTATGTAATTCAACTAGATACAAGAAAACCAATTAACTCCAACCTCTCAATCACCTCAATAAAATATAAAATAAAACTGAGCATGTAAATAGTCTCTCTAGAGTAGAACATGCTGAAGTG